TAATTGTAGTAATTTACTGCCGATATCACGATGACAGGAAGGTGTCCTTTGCCGTGCATAATAATTCCCCCACCCCAACCACCTTTTCGGTTCTCTTCATCATTATTGTTGAGTTGTGATCTTGTTAATCTCAAAGTGATGTTGTCATTTCTTATATTGTTTAATTGTAATAATTTACTGCTGATAACGCGGTGATAGAAAGGTGTCTTTTGAAGAGCCGCAAATAATTATCGTAACAAACCCCTGCCTATTCAACTACAATAGCTTGTTGGTCGTCTTCAATCTTACGATCACCTATATAAATGTAGTAATTTACTGCTGATATATATCACGATGACAGAAATGTGTCCTTAAAAAAGCCGTGCATAATAATTCCACCACCCAACCACCCTTTTCAACTAGGCCTACACCACCCATCGGTCCCCTTCATTATTACGCTTACCGGTACCTGTTCAATTGTTTAATTGTAGTAATTTACTGCAGATACCACGATGAAAGAAGGTTTCCTTTGAAGAGCCGCAAAATAATAAACCCCTGCTCTATTCAACTACACCAGGTTTTTGGCCGTCTTTAATCTTACGATCACCTGGTCTTTTGTTTAATTGCAGTGTATTATTGATGATATCTCGATGATAGAAACGTGTCTCTTGAAGAGCCCAGAACACTGTATAAAACTTCTCGACCGTTATCATGAGTAAAAGTGGAGGAACATAATTGTACTATAAATAATATTAATAGTAATACAAACATCTTGACCGCTCTCCGCAAAAGTGGAATAAATAATTAGGCCGGCTATATGAATAATAGTAATAGTAATAATACAAATAATGATAATATTATAATGATGACGATGATAGAAATAATTTTAACTGCTTTCTATTCTTATATTTTGTTTGGTACTCACATTCATAAAGCGCAATTGGTTCAAAATCTCAAAACCTAGAATTATAATATAGGCTAAGCCTTTAATAGTAGGCCTATAGTGGCAAATTGCTAATAATAATAATAATAACAATAACAACAATAACAACAAACAATAATAATAATAATTATAATAATAATAAATAATAATAATAACAATAATAATAATAATATTAAAAATAAAAATAATAATATACATTGTGTTTATAACATGAACATAGGGAAGAATATCTCATCGGCTAAACTGGTGGTAGCCCTGTGTGTGCACTCTTTTCCCATCCATCCCTATTCTCCTTGTTTTTCAGCTGAAGGGCTGAAATGTAAGCATAAAACACGCACCGCCTTTTGGATGAGACGTTGTTAAAGCCATTGGTCTCGTGTGCAATGTGACCCATGTGCAAAGTACTGTACACTAATCTTCTGCGAAAAGAGTTATGGATGTCTCCCGGTGTCAGTTCCCAATCACTACATGTGAAGGACCCCACTGTAAATAAGTCCTTAGTGGCCACACCAAAACAACCCAATCCAACATTGTAGTTCAAATATAACGATTAAGTACAATTCAGTGGTTACCATGGCAACGATTCAAAATATATTTGGATTCCGAGAAAATTTCGTCACTTAGAATTAATTTGTGTTTTCGTTGGTGGATTGAATGACACAAATACAAATATTTTTAATTTTCTAAATCACTTAGGCCTAATGTTATTTGAACACGTTGACATTTGCAAATAAGCTAAAATTATGTGCACAGCATCGGTGAATGAGATCGTAGGGCCGACTACAAACACTCACTCATTCACTCAAAACTATGTCAGGTCACTCAAATTGTTAGCTTAAATCGATATTTCTAAAATGAAATTTTTCAATCAAAACAACATTGGAAAGCTGTAGATATTCTATACTTTCATAAATGTAGACAATATAAACAATTTAAGGCAATTTAAGGCAATATCTTCACTTATTGAATCGCAAAGATTCGCCAATTATCGGCTCGTTTGAAATGCTTAGCAAGTTAATATTTTTGTCCGACGACCTCGATCGTCTTGGCGTCGGACCGGGGGCGGTACATGTTTGTCTCACGGGAAGGGGACTCCGCCTGACCAGACCCCCCCACCCTAGCGCTGCCACCGCCTAATATTTCTCTATTCATTAACTGATACATACCACCTAGATAAAGAAGTTAAAAAAGGAAATATATCGCATTCATAAAATTTGTTATCAACGAACAAGACTATTTTAATAGAGTCTACTATGGAAATCTGGAGCTTCTTTGGGTTGCTAACCATAAATGACGCATGCTCAGTGTGGTGCTGCAACAGTAAGACCTTTACTGATAAATTAGACAATCTACAGTTCCAGATGGCCAAAACTATACTCAAAAACCCACGAAATGTTGCAAAGGAAGCACTGAATGGCGATTTATGCTGGCAATCGATTGACTTGATCTAAAATAATTTCAGACTGTCGTATTTCAATAGATTAAAAAACATGAATGATAAAAGATGGCCTAGGTTATTGTTAAAGGCCGTACCACAAACTACAAAATGTTGTTCGATGGAAATGGCCATACACAATCGAAGATTTACTACAACCACGTAACCTTTTGAATATTTATAATATAGAATATCATAACTGGATTAAAGTGTTTATAATTAAGAACACACAGCTTTATGCTAAGGAATGGTATGATAGAGCGAAAGCAAAGCCATCACTAAAAGATTATATTAGATATAAAGGAGAAGCCTAATTCAATACTTACCTGAAGCAAGTTCTAATGAATTCCAAAGCAGTTAATCTAAAATTTAAGGCACTGTCGAATTCATTAGAACTTGCAGTAAGGAAAGCTTTGTGGTCACATTAATATTCAGGTTTTTGCAACATTTGTAATTATGATAAGAAAGAAGCAGTTGACCATTTCCAATTTGGATGTGGACTACAAACAATCAGAAACGATACATTTATTAAATTAAAAAATGAATTATATAACTGGACCTTCAATCTGTTTGGGATAACTTTGAAAACGGCTCTTTAGAATATAAACACCAAAGCTTATTAGAGAATGAAACCGAGGATGTAAGCCAAATGTTTTATTTCTACTGCAAACAATATCTCACTGACTCTATAAAATAACCATATACTCCCTACTATTGCAACTATTAGTTTTAATTTTTCCCCGTTGCTTACTAATCGATGTTGTACTTGTCTGTTTGCAGATTTACTGTAACTATCTGTGGATGTGAGATACAGTTATCTTATGTGTAGGCCTATTCATTTTTTGAGTTCGCAAGTAAACACAGGTGTAGTGTGGGTGCGCGCATTTAATATTTATACGTGTTTTTTTATTTATTTTTTAAAATAAATAATAGTATATCTTGTATATCTTTGTGTTAATTCGAATTTAGCATCTTCATTGTTTACTCATTAGTTTTGTATTGTTTCAAATTTTTACTGTATTGTGCCACTGTTCGAAAAGTAAATACCTAATAAATCTGAATCTGACAGTGACAGCGATTGTATGTATACCAGGCTTAGGGTCACTTAGTGTCTTAGCTACCCAGTAAACCGTGCCAGATACCCTTGTCTGTCCGCAACAGGAGCTGTTGGAGCAGAACACCTGGGTAATCACTATTTTTCACACAGAAAACTGACTTTCTCTTTCAAAGCTAAGTGAATATGAATGTTGTATATGCATTTATAAAAATATGGCTGGACGTTCACCATAATGTTGACATATCGAATTTAGTTCTAATAAATACCTTTCTTACAGAGGGGATAAAACCAAAAACAATTTGAGTATTGAATGGAGCAAATTGCTATCAATGTCTTCCAGTATTTAATAATATGATAGTAAATAATATTACTGTAGTATATTAAATAATAATGGTGATAATAATAATGATAATAATAATAATAATAATAATAATAATAATAATAATAATAATAATAATAATAATAATAATAATACTTGTTAATTTTAGGTGGTTTAAGTTGTATCTTTTTCGAACTTTCTTTGTTTTATATCAAAACCTTTGTGTATTTTTCTAATCTGCAGGCCTATTTAATGCTTAATTTTTAATGACCTTGTGGAAGTACACTGTCTTTGAGGTGAACGAGTTTTTAATGTATATTTTCGAGAATAAATAAAGCTTTTGATTGATTGGTTAATTGAAGTATGTACTAGGGTCTTTAGAGCGCACATGATGAGCCCATGATTAACCCGGGGAATGGTATAAACTTGCGTAGTATCTTTCAGAACACACTGAATGATGCAACTTATTAGTATTATCTACGGGAGGCGTGGGGTTTCTGTAGCGTTAATTGGAATTGCTGTGAACGATAGAACCATAATTGTTTTTAAATTGAAATAATCACATTCCCCCATATAATCATTAGTGCGTGAATAATGGTGGTCGACTAGATTGTTGATAATATTATTATAATTATAGGAGGACGTAATTGACATCAAATAAGAAATTGAATTGCCAGCTATTTAATTAGTCGGTAGGGGCGGCTTAAGAGGGGAATAAACAGGATTTATCCCCTTATTGCCAAAATGTATGTTTTTTTTTAATGACTTTCAGGTAATAGCTTATGAAATTGGCCTGAATTTAAATTTTGTATAACACAATATAAACATATTAGTGTATAATTCAACAGCACACACGTCATGAGGGGACCATACTGCCATGGTAGTTGGTTCAAATCATAAGAAACTTTTAGTAGCCCCCACCACTAACTGTGGTTTACAATAAAGTAGGCCTACCTCAACTTTAGTTATTAAAATATCATACCAGGGTTACAGGGCAACCCTGAGTAAGCGAGGAGGTTCTGTCTGGATGAAGAGTGGGAGAGGAGCTTCAATTTAATTTATATTATATAAACAAGTTATCATTTCGTCTGGTGATTATTTAGTTCTACTTCGGTATTGAGCACTCCTACCCTGATGATCTTGAATACTACTATACAGTGGTACTAAAGAAGTCTCCTCCCCGCAATGGTGCCCATTCCGATCGGATGTGTGTATAGGCTACTTCGAACATAAAATGATGAGATTCTGTATTATTTTATCTCGGCAGCAATTTCCGTTCTCAATGCAGAAGTTTCGCTGTTTAGATGGTAGTCTAATTGATCTCGCCAAAGTGTGTGATGGCCATAGACATTGCATGGACGATGAACTCTGGTGTTCAGGTATAGAGACATTTCATTATTTGTTTACAATACATCACCATTAATTTTCCAAATTCAGTCAAATAAAGTTAAGGCCAACTCAGACAGCGTCGGCCGACGCAGCCCGACCCAATTTATCGTCGGGGACAGTCTTAAGCCGTCGTGAGAAATATTAAACATGTTTAATATTCTACGACGCGACTGCCCCCGACGCAAACCATCGCGTCTGCGTTGAACTCACACAGACCCGACGCGACAACAAATCGCGTCGGGCTGCGTCGTACGACGCTGTCTGAGTTGGCCTTTAAACTTACAGTGGTCTGTGAAATAGAAAAAGCTCACATTTTTTCGTAATGTAGGGAGTTCTTATTTATTATGTACACATTTTCATCATCGTTTCATCATTATAAAAAACACACTCCGTTTTTAAATATTTTGATGTAAGTGGTAGAACTAGTTTTGGCCAATCTGTTTTCCTATACAGTACTTGATAGCCTAATTTGTTCGTAATGTAGGGAGTTCTTATTTATTATGTACATGTGTTTAGATCATTTATTTATGTTGTTGCTTATGTTTCATCATTATTAAAACACACTCCGTTTTTCAATATTTTGATGTAAGTGGTAGAACTAGTTTTGGCCAATCTGCTTTCCTATACAGTACTTGATAGCCTACAAAATTTTAGCGACATATACTGTAAATATAGGCCTATATATCTATTTAAAAAAAAAAAAGAAGAAAAGCCTATTGTGATAGAGCAGACAAGCAATTGAATATAACGTGTTACAAATTACTGCTCGGTGTACCGGATGTAACCATTAAACGCTCTTCAAATTAAAGTCAGCTGATTCCGATCGTTTCAAATAGATTGAGGTGTAAGACTTACTCAAAACAGTTCGGGTCAAATGTAAACCATAACATAGCCAATTGTCGTGGAGAACTGAAAAGTACAAGTTAATTTTATTAAAATAAATCACAGCTTTTGGTTTTTGAACATGGTTTATTCTTTTTGTCGTGAAATTGTCGTGACCATGTTTCCTTAAGTGGATGTGGATTGAAACCTGGTGTACATTGATGTAGGACCTACATAAACGGTCTACTGTTACACCACAGCAGGCAGCCTATGCCTATTAGATCAAGGTAATTCACTAATCACTAAAAAGACGTGCACAATATTATTTATACTGTTCCGTAAATACAAATCATACAAATAGGGTGTGATAATATCAATGGACATACCTCTGGTATATTTAAATTAAAGGTTCCATCTTACTTGGTGCCGTGGGTCGAGGCTCTGGTTCTCGTTCTAGTCATGATGCCGGATCTCATAGATATTGCAACGAAGGAGTACGGTATAACACGTACATTAAGCGGTCATAATGTCAAGAAGATAACTCGATAGAAGCACCATAGTTAATTAATCTTTAACCAATCGTCATTTTTTTTCTATTTAATTATTCTTCTTCTCGTTTTTGTAGCTTGTAGCGTTGGAACTACAGATGGCGCTTTCTCGTGTGAAATAGGCGGTGAATCAAAGTGTATTGCACCAAAACAGGTAATTACTTTTTGCTTTATGTATTAAAACAAATTGTCGCATTTTCTCTTAAACGCAGTGCGAACTGAGTGAAGATCCCCGGTAGGGGTTCAAGGATCGAGTGATCCAATTTAAACCTTTACCTACGGTATAAATTTGAGTTTGTATTTGATTGATTTTTCCTATTAGCATGGTTTGGGAGAACAGTCTTTTTGACTGAAGATTTTACCCAGTATAAAGAACAAATAAATAAAAAATAAATAAAAGTTATTTTCTGATAAGTTTTACAAAAAAAAGGAAAAGAAAAATTCCAAAAAATAGGAGCGCGCGTACGCCCCTGACGCCCCCCTCCCACTAAAATCAGCAACTGATGCTCTTATTTTGTTCTTATTTTTTCACAATTTTCAAATATAGAAAATTATTAATATCACTGTGCTGTATTAACAGCTAAGATTTGTTGGTTTTCTATTAAAAAATAAAAAATAATCCTCATTTCACTTTAGTACCTCAGCCTCAAATTGTTCTTATTTTGTTCCTAATCTTTAAGCAATTTCAGCCTCAGTCCTCTTACAAATATATAT